AAGCTCACTGGTGGCGCGACTCGCACGCTCACTGTCAGCAATAAGGACCTCCACCGCGTTGATGGGAGTGAGCAGGTGCACCGATGTGGGGTAGCAGAGCTGCAACGGGTATGCGAACTTATCACCCTCCAATACCACAGGTTTGAAGTCTGTAGTAAACGTCTTGATGTACACCACACGGCCGCCCTGATTGCACTCACATATGGCACCAAGCACTGCAAGCTGCCCCTCACAGACACCGCCAAAGTCACCAACAATCAAGTCATCGACGGCATATCTCCGCTGTGTAAAGAGAGACTCTTGAAACCTCGAGCGATTTGACGTCCACTCCCTCGAGGCAAAAACCTGGAGCAAAACCTCACCCACCTCCCAGCCGCCAACCATCGTCTCCCCATCAATGTCGTTCTTCAGAAAATGCTCCGTGTCGTTATAGTCCTTTTGCCCACTCTTGGCCAGGTAGTCCCTCATCACATTTTGGAAGCGCCTAATTGCAGCGTACCGCCGGGCCGTCGCCAGCGGGTTCGCCCCCGTCGTGATAATTTGCCCAGGCACGAACGGGAGGCCAGTTGCAACGGCCTCCCTCCACGTCGAGACAAGAAGGTCCTGCAAGTCAAGTGGAGAAAGCACATACACTCCGCGCGTACGAGCGTCAGTCAGCACCTTGTGGATGAACACCTCGGTCGTATTGGACGGCTTGCCAAAGACAATTACGGCCTGCGGACGGGTTGCCACAAACGCCTCCCACTCTGCCTGGAACTCAGCGTCGCGCTCACTCCAGTCCCTCGTCCCGGGCAGCTTGAACACGCCACACAGCTCGTAGCCCATGCCTTTCATCAAGTCCACCGCGGCGGCGTGCTCCGCGTCACCGTAAAGAACACCTGTCAGGTACATATAGCCCACCCGGTACACACGCAGGCACGAAGTGACGTACCAAATGTGAGCGTACAGACCAGACATGGGATCTGTGCGGAGAAAGTAAAAGTGCGGCTCCCAGAAACGCACAGTCGCCGATCCGGTGTAGGGACCAAGAGCCACCAACCCATACTGCTGCAGGACCGGCAGGGCAGCCAGCAGCGCGTCGTCGCCCACAGGACCCACAACCGCAAGGATGTCGGGGTTCGTTTTCATCGCCTCGGCAATCACAATGCCGACGTCCTCCGTCGGTGGAGTAACAGCTGGCGGCGGAACGCGTTCCAGCTGCACCCCATCAGCCGTGTAGTTGCGAGTCCACAGTGCCGCCTGCACCCCGGCTCTGTACGCCTTGATTGAGGCAGCCGACAAGGGGTCATCTGTGTACAGCAGGTCCAGTAGCTTTACCGTCGGCTGCCGCGCCCACACCCCTGCGGCACACGCGAGCAGAACACACACCAGCGCGAAAGAAGAAAGCGGCGCAGACCACACACGACGCAGCAGGCGCACACCCATCAAACACCGCTTATGCCTTTAGTCCTGAAAAAACAAAAACACAGAAAAGAGCGCGGCAAGAGCAAACCATCGGCACGGACAGGACATGTGGGCACCCACCCAAGCACATGATGGGAGTGACCGCAGCCAAATACAGGCCCATGCAGATTCAGGCGCACACAGACATGCACGGCGACCCACATGGCAGCCACCACCACACTGCGGAGAGGCACCCGCAGCGCACACAGGCAAAAGCAGGGACCACGCACACTACACGCGAACAGCACAAGGGGACGGACGACGCACAACTATCGCGCTGTCGCTCAGACTCAAAAATGCACCGTAACCAACAGGGCTGACGTCAAGCTCGGACGCAAGGACCCATGCGTGTCCACTGCGCCAAGCAACACCACAACACCGCCAGCCTCACACACGCCCCGCTGCTACGCTTTGCACGCAGTCACACAAAGACGCCACGCAGCAATACGACGAATCAAGGTGTCGCATACCTCCTTCGTCTCCTCCCAACTCTACAAAAAGACGGACATATTCCAACGCCCAGCATTCGCCTGGAACACCTTCACCTGCTGCAGCATCGGCTACGGGGCATAGAGTTCTGTCAGGAGAGGGAAGACGCAAACATGCCCACAGCGCAAAGAGGCGCCACTGGCAAGTCACACCGAATTAGTGTGCCTCACACGTGCGGTGGATGTGGGCACACAAAGTCCCCCTCCAGCAACTCTGAAGAGATACGCACCACAGCCGGAAACATACCGGCGGGGCCCAAGGCGCACAACCCGTAAAGGACGCAATGGATTGGCACCCAGTGACTGCCACCAACGCAGCAACCGTCAAAAAAACAGAACCGAAACTCCGCCCCCCATGCAACCGCCCCCAGCGCCGTCGCCTCCACCTCCTCCCGCTCTGCCGTGCTCAGCGCCATGTACGCTGCACGCGTCAGCAGCACCTGCCCGCCGTTCCCCACGCTCTCCGTGCGTGCCGCCATGTTCACCGCGCCACCGTAGTAGTCGTACCTCTCCGTAACCTCGTCGCGGCGGATGTCGCACAGCCCAGTGT